TGATATGGGAGTGCCAGGTGGTGCTTGATATCTCATCAACATCAGGTTTGTCTCGCTGTTTTCCAGGATGCCCTACTGTATGCCCGGGAATGGTTCCACGGATGAACCTGGGCTGGACATGGTTCTCAGAACAACAGATCCATCGACCCTCGATCCACCAGCTCCGTGCCGAGAAACGTGATCCATCGACCTGCCATGCAGCCATCGGTGTCTCGAGGTCGACGTCCAGCTGTGCCTTTGTCGTCTTCCCGAGTCAAGAGGCTCAGGCGAAGGCAGACGATCGCAGGGTCTTGGGAGACGATGCACCCGTGGAGGGACGATCGCTCGGGGTAGACCTCTGGGCCCGTAGGGGCCCAACTTTTGTCGACGATCCTGCGGTTTGGGGAGCAAACATTGAGTTGAGCTTCCTATAACCCTGGAAGCTCTGGGTGAAAGCTCTTGGCGATCTATTTTGGTGTGGTTTCATGTTCAATGCGACTGGCCTGTTGCTGCAAGTTTTTCGGAGGCCATAGCTGCTGTAAAGACCTCTGGGGTGGCTGTGGATCAAAAGGCTTGCAAGCTGACGCCCTGTGTCTTGGATGGCAGTGATCAACGGATGGCTCAACCATCCGTCAACATCCGAACTTCGCCAAGGTTGGAGGTTCCTGGGGTCGGGAGAACCTTCGTCATGAGGGGTGTGATGGGTGTGACCCTTTGCTCGTTCAACGAGGAAGTTGAGACTCTTTGCTCCCTCATGATTCCATGCTTTTGATTTGTTAGACACCACTGAAGATTCGTGTGTTCCTCAGGTCGCTATGCGCCTGAAGGGCTCTTCTGGCACAACATGGGTGTGACTCCTGAGCAGCGCACACGTCGAATCATGCTGGCGCTGCTGGTCCCCCGGCTGATCCAGACCAAGCTGCCAAGGGGAAGGAGTCCGTAGGAGAGCCATTCGCAGCAGCTCTGGACGATTTGAAGTGCGGAGAACCCAATGGTGTCAGACGATTTCCAGATGATTTCCAGATCATTCTTGAGGCCTTGGCTGTGTCTTGCACCATCTGGACCTTCATCCTCTACATTCCGTGCGCATTGGGAGATGGCTATCAGTGAGGCTATCAGGGAGATTTGGTTTGTTAATCCAGGTTTGGGGAGAACTGCAATTGTTTCGGAGGATTAGGACGTCCAGCGGCTCTAGGACCTTCTCAGCGGCTTGGCCTTTGATGCACAGCCAGGAGTTCTCCAATCCAGCTTCCTGTCATAGATTTTGCATGTGCCACAAGACTGGGACCTTTCCTCCAGGTATGCGCTGTATATGTCATCTTTCTCCTATGCCAATGGCGATGAGCCTGGAGAGTTCTCAGAAGGTCTTTTCATTTGTTGCTCGGAGACCAGGGTGGGAATTGAATGTGGGGCCTGCAGGGTTTGACATACATACATGCATCCATGTTTCCGGCCTCAGCGTCCTTGGGGTGGGCTATGCAAAGCCCCATTTCATCCTGTTTGTTTGGAGAAGATCTCTTGGCCTCGCCAAAGCTGTGTCATTTCTTTACCTCAGCTTGCATTAGGCCGGCTTCAGGGTGTGGGTGTTGGGACGCCTCGTGTTGGTTGCCTCATAACCCCTTGAAGCAACACTTGCCCAAAGCACTCCTGACGTGGCCTCCAACCTAATAGCTTCTAGCTACTAGTAGCTTCTTGTTCCTAGTAGTAAGGCCAGGAGCCCCTAGTAGCTTCCTTGCTCCTAGTAGCGATGCCAGGAGCCCCTAGTAGCTTCTAGCTACTAGTAATGGCCTCCTACTAGCTCAAGTTCTGAGACGTCGTGATCTCAGGCTTAGTGGTGGGCTCGCAGATCGGTTTGTTCGTGGTGAGCTCCATGGGCGCGAAGCACGCGGCCTTTCACAGCGAGGACGAGACGCAGAAGGCGGCCGCGGCAGTCTGGGCAGCTTCGTGGTGGTTGCTGGGGACTCGGGTAGCTACTCTGATTCTGACTTACAGTTTCTTTGCGCGGCTGGGCAAAAGAACGAAGATGTGTTTCTGGGATGCCTTGCTTTTTGTGTGAGCAAAGCTCTTATGTGTATGTTCTTGATTCTCCTTGTGCAAATACAGCAGGAACCAGCAGTCGATATCTTCCAAAGTTCTACACCTTCAGCATACCTTCAGCACTTGATGCTTTTCAACGTTTTGTTCGATTTGCCACGACTCCTTGAGGCTCTCGTTCCAACGATCCAAAGGATTCACAACAACAAGTTTAAATCTTCGCTCCTGCACTCGCAACCCACATGAGTCCTTGTTGAACATGGGTGTGGGCATTGTCTGGCCGAAAGAACAATCCTGAGAGCCAACACCTCAAAGCACTTCCACTCCATTCGGAGCAGCGACTTGCAGTGCTCCAGGTACACCAGTAGGGAGCTCCAGGTGCACCAGTGGAGGATGTTCTCCTCCCTCCATCTGCAGGGCCGTCCGTTTTCGGACGCTCGAGCTGCGAAGGCCTACACCATGTACTACAATGCGGCTTTGAGACTTGGACCGGTCCACCTCCTTTGGGTGCCTCTGAGTGTGCATACAATGGAACATGAGTCGACATGAACCGCAAAAGTTCCCATTGTCCCATTGTATATACGTGATTTGACCAGCTTGCTTGTCTACACGGAGGTCCCTAGTGCAGAGGTATGGGTGCAGGGCTGTTGTGGTGTGGAGATTCTGATGTACTTGGTGTAAGTGTAAGTGTAATACATGAAGGCTCTACAACATGAATTGTTGGAGTGTTTCTGCACGCTGGGTGCAGGACTGTGGAACACGTCAGACATGTCATGCTCTAGTGAGCGTCTCCTTTTGATGCGTCCCACCGAAGATAGGATTCGCAGGACACCAATCTGCAAAAACAAATTTCTGCGACTTGGTGTTTCATTGGATTGGTTGAAGAGTTGAAGGTAACATCTACAGCAAAACCCATGGTGAACATCACCTTCACACTCGTCGTCTCGTCGTCGTTTTCCGATGTTTCCTTCCAATTCGATCCATTGAGCCCCGATTTTGGAACTCTGTGGAGCAAACGGCGGTCTGGGCGATCGACTGAACATCTCTGAGTTCCGTTTTCGTACCCATGAGATGTGATGGGCCAAGGATTTTGAATCTGATCCTGGACTTGGCCTTACAGACGCCTGGCGGAGTGTGGTGCCGGGATCGGTGGATCTTTCTGAAACATTTCAAACAGATGGCGGAAAGCGCTGGAACAGTGCAGGGAGTTGTTGAGCGAAGCAGTCAGGAGGCGGTTGGTGAGGGGCCATGAGCGCGTGGAAATGCATTTTTGATTTGCAGAGGTACGTGGGGTTGTTTTGTGGGTCCCGGTTTGTGTCTGTAAGGCACCTTCGGAAGAAGGGTTTCATGCGCAACTAGCCAATAAAATCTGTAGAATTGAGCGAAATTGTGTTGCAAGTGGCACATTGCAGCAAAGGGATTGTGTTGTGTAAGCGCCGAACCTCGCCAAAGGTGCGATTTCGGGCCCTATACAAAAAATCAGAACGGGTGCTCCTGGGAGATGTTTTTTGTGCAAAAAGTGATCAAGCACACTGTGCTTTACAATAGTTTTTGGCTGACACCTCACAAAAACCATGGCTTTGAGTTATTGGTTGCGCTTCAATTTGTTCAGACCAGGCCGACAAGGCTTAGAGAGAATACCGAAAAACCACAACACCAAAAAAAGCAAAGTAATAAAACAGCAAAAAACAAACACATACAATATCAACAAAACAGCCCAAAAAACATCAAAATCAAAACACCAATGTTTGAGACAAAATGAAGGCAACAAAACAAGCAAAATACACATCCAAATCCTATAGTACCCTCATTTTGTCTCCAACAGCTTATTTTTTTAAAGAAATTTGTTGGTAGTTTGATTTGTTGTTTTTTTGGGTATTCTCTCTTGTAGAACATCAGACACCCCTTGGTAGGCAAATGCTTTTAAAACTGAGCTCCAAAAGGAAGCCTTCAACCTTCACAAGGGTTCTTTTGCTTTTTCTGTTGTTAAACATTTCCTTCTTAAGAGCATTCAGATTCAATCAAGGGAACGCATTACTAAAGAAGCTAATGAGCTAGACCAAGTTTCAACAGCAACAAGTTACTTCTTCTGGTGTCCTGTCTCAATAGGTGTTTCTATTGCTCCAATAGTTTGCTGCGTTTTCGTGAGTCTATTTGTGGTGGATGTATATAGTAATACAATTGAACCATTTTTGTTGCATTTGTACGTAGGTGTGGTTTTCTATAGAGCTGCTGCTACGGAGCTGGTAAGACTTTACTTGCTAGAATTGCTTTGCTGCGCCGCTGCTGCGATCTTGCTTCGGTGCATTGCTCTCGTACTGGGATCTCGCTTCGGTTACTCTTGCTGTTATCTTACTTCAGTAAACATGTCTGCAAGATCGAATTTGACGACGGTTGGAGTTAACCTCTACAAACTCTTTCCTTCCACGCTCCCGGGCCATCCGTCGTCTAGTTTGATAGGTTTGATCCAGTGGTGTGTGCTCTCCCAAGCACACCCGCTCTCAAAAAAGAACATGGCTTAGATTGCGTTAGCAACTTGGGGCTCCACAAAAAATGTGCGTGGTAAGGCTCCTTGGAGGTCATGTTGCGGCCATGTGGGGGGATGTTGGGCTATATTGAGGTTTGGACTCATGTTGGGGTTATAGTGGGGTCAGGGCCTGTAAAGCCTATGAACCCACAAAAAAAGTCCGCTTATGATGCTGAGTTGCAGCATTCGTCGCCGTGTCAAGACCTGGATGGGTCCACCTCTAAACAGGTCCGCTTGGTCTGATTGAGAGGCACATGGCTGTGAAACTAGGTGGCGTCAAGCATCACACCGATCAACGTCCTAAAGCACTGGTGTGAGGTGCAGTCAATATGCTCGGTGTGTACCTCTCTGGGTTGATACTCAATACTGGGCGGAAGGTACAACCTGGCCTGTGTGATGGGCGCCTTAAGGACGTACCTTAGCTACTTGCAGATGGTGGGCGTCGGTGCACATACTTCGGATGGACGACTCCTGGGAAGCCTGGCCTCTTGGTGCCGAGCTGAGCCGAAGGGCCCGGGTGAAGGCATGCTTCCTGAGCCTGCCAGTTGGTGCAGGTGGTCGAACAACTGCGGGTTGGCAGGGGGGATGTGGGAGACTCCAAATGGAGATTTGCAGAGCATGCCCTCAACACGGTTCATTGTTTCCAGTACCTTCCGGACTACATTCTGCGGGCCACTGTTTGCTAGATTGTTTCTCATGAGTTTCTAAGACCGCACAGAAGCAACGGCAGGACCGGTAGGATTGATTCTGTGGGCCTCCCCGCATCAGCTGCCTGAAAGAAAACCCAAAGTGCCAGATGCTCAGGCACCAAGCAGGACAACATGGGTGAACTGCTAAGATAGAGAAAACAGGGCAAAACCGATGGTTTTCCGAGCCACACCAGCGCCTTGAGGAAAGCTTCCAAGAGATTTTTGAGTCCTACCCAGTGCAGAAGTCCATGGGTAAGCTCCTTTTTGTGCAGCTTGTGTCTACATTACTTCAAGAAATTCGAAGCGCATTCAGGGTGTCTGTGGCGATTGATGCCACACTGTTTCAAAAACTGGATGTTGATTCATCCTCCATCCCTGGTGGATATTGTTTGACACAGTCGCACAGCTTCTAGTAAACTTGGCCGAATGGAAGCTCTCATTCAGCTTGACGGCTGTATGGTTCAGCAGGTCAAGAAGTGGTTTTCTTTGGTTTATGATTGTTGCCAGCACTCGCTCGGATCGAATCCAAGATGCCGCAGGTGAAAGTTCCCAAGGGCCCAAGAAGGGCCAAGGTCCTTAAAGATGGGTCATACTGAGAGTCATACTTGGTGCTTTCGGATAGGATGGAAGGACGAAGCGTGATTCAGAATCATTGAGGTTGTCAGGGAAGATGTTTGTTTATAACTTTATAACTTGGCTTCCAGGAGTTGGCTGCTACGGATTTCGGAATCGTGGTATCTCCGAGCCGCCGGTCACAAGAGACTCTGGAGAAGTTGTGGCTGTCATGGATCACTTTGCCGGGTGTTTGTACTCCGACTTGCCCTCCACACTTCCAAGGTATTGCTGGCCCTGTACATTCTTTGTGCCTTTTTTTGGCGGAGCCCTTCGCAGTGCAGTGGCTGCCACAACACTTGGGTCCTTTAGTGAAAGGGTGGGAGTGTGACACACGGATGGGTTTGAGGTACTGATCCAACTTTATGTTTTGGTTCTGTTCCCGGCCCAAAAGTCCTCTAGCTTCTTCGGGGCTGTTGGTCCTCCTTTTCAGGGCAGCTGTTTCACCGCTGGTGCGTCCGGTTCTGCGTCCAACCCGGTCCAACCCGCACCCTCCACGAAACGTGTTCGACAAGAAGGGACTTGTTGGACACCAAGAAGGGATGATGTTGCACAGACTATTTAGCCTCCAACCCAATAGCAATGGCCTCCAACCTAGCGATGATTTGGGACCGACTTTCCAGGACAAGGACCGACTTTCTTGACGATGGATCCCCTAGGTGTAGATTTGCTAGAGGCTATGATGATTGAAATTTGCATGTACGGAGTGCGGAATTCTTCTGACTTTGTGTGTGTGCATGCTGAGTCCCCTTCCCGAAGCCTTGCTATCCACATCAAATTAGGCAAGGTTTCGTGACCAAGCATTTAGATGAATGCACCGGTGCTTGTGGAAGGCCTGGCCCAGTGAGCTTGGCCAACATGTCATGTCAGGGAAACTTCCCTTTGGATTAAATTCCCTTTGGATTTGAGCCCAGGCAAATAAACAGTTGGCGGTCGATGGTCGAGGCAAGTCTTTTGACCGGTATGTATTGCCTGGGTTCATGTTCTTTTCATTCGATCCATAGCCCCACCGCCAGGCCAGGCCCCACTGCACCGGTCCTCTTCAGGTCAGAAATTGGTGGGTGCCGACAAGCGCATCAAGGGTGAGAACGCTGAGAAGGTGCGATGGCTATGAGCGCATCGATGCGGGCGGATTCGGCCTGGGGCATGTTGGAGCGGACGTTCTTTTGTTGTCCCATTGGCGGTGATTGGTGCGGTTTTGATGCACCATTTGAGTTCTATGCACTATCTATGCACTATCTTCTCTTCTCTCAGTTCTTTCACACAGCGTGTCGCTACCCATGCTCTTGATATCTCTTGATGATGTGTACTGATGATGACCAATACCCACGTTCCCATATCACACCTGACGGACAGGGAGACCCTCAGTTTGACCCCCCTGGAAGAAGAAACATGGACCAGTCTACCCATTGGTTGCGAATTCTCCCTATCAAAACATACACCCATCTGCTAAACAGCTTCCCACTGCTCTTTTCCTTCCTTCCCAACTTCGCTCTCTTCTTCCAAGGCTCTGGAACTCGGAGAAATGGAGCAAGGCCGTTACGCGGCCCCTGGGGCGAGACGGGAGGAGGATGGACGGGGTGGAGGATGGAGGGGCGCCCTGGGGTCAAGTGATGGGGGTCTTGGGAGTTGATGACAGGGAGTATATGGGGGTCTCAGTTGAATGGGTTTCATATCACCCTAACCCAGTGCGTTTGGCTGGTCAGCAGTTTCTTTGTCCTGCCGACTCAACTCAGTGAGCTGGTGTCCGCAGAAGAGCATTCTGCTTTGCTGCTTCAAGAGATCAAGGTTGACAATAAAAGGGAGTGCTCTTTGTGAAGTCACGGGGAAATCACCATGGTGCAATAGAACCTGCGTCCAGAAACTGGGAGGCCTCGAAAACTGCATATAGACCTGGCCACTTTTCCATGGTCAATCATTGGGGAAGTGAAGACCACCATGCCTGGGATGGCCTCGAGCTCCTAATGGTCCTAATCTCGTGTTGGCCCGGGAGCTCGCTCTCACCCAAGTTCGAGCTTTTTCCCACGAAGCTTTGGAGGACAAGCTGAATCATTCAACTGACATCAGCTCACCTGCAGCTGTGCCGTCCCACGAGTTTGAGAGGAATATATCGTTTTTTGAGAGGGGTGGGGGATGGAGTCCTGGTAGAGTAGACCTTTGAATCTGTTTTGTCCACCTTTTTTTTTATCTGAGTCCCTGCTCTTTGCAGGGTTCTTGAGATTTCTGGGACCATTTCAAATCCTCTCTGAGGATTGCATCTTCAACGTCATCCTGGTGGTTTGTATTCCATTTATCTCCCCGGCCTATCTTGCTCTAACCTTCGCCGCGCTGATCTTCTCGCACCTCTACCTCTACCTCTACGACACGGTGAAGGCGAGCAAACCCCACCGATGCAAACCCCAACGCAGCCGGTCGAAACCGGACACCGGACGGACTCGAAACAAGGGGTCGACGGACTCGGGGCAGGTGCTGCGGTATGTCCGGAAGTTCAACTTCAGCGGCCCAGAGGCGAAGAGCAGAGGGGACCGGGGGGGATAAAGACCCGCTCCGGGGGCAGGACCTGGATTTGTGCAGTGAAGGGTGCTAAAAGAACACTCATGGTGGAGCTGTTTGATGTGAAAGATGGGTTTGCCAGTCAGTCCTGTTTGGTCATTCTTGCACCGCGATCCTTTTTTTCACTCCTCAACACTCCTCAGCAACTAGTAACTGCTGTGGGCCCACCAGGCCCTAACATTTGGATCTTCTCCAGCCGATGTTTCCTCGCCTCGCCCTGCGCGACGTCCACCAAAAAGAGTTCACCCTCGTCCTCGTCTTTCCTCCATCTTTCCAGGTCCACTGGCTGGGCATGCAGCTCTTCGCGCTGCCGGTCGCCATCTTGGCCGCCTGTTTACTCTTCAAGGCCCTCAGCTGCTCCGCGGAGCGGACGATTCCGGAGCGAAAGCGGCACGCGCGCGCGCTGCCGCACGTGTCCGCCGTTGAGAAGGGTCCGAACCAAAACGCAAACAACGCGGTCCTTCGCCGATGAAACGGTCCACAGGGTTGGGCTCCAGAGATGGGGCAACTGGACATCCCAAGGCTTCCCCTCTGCCAGGCGTCTTTTCTCAACGCCAGGCCAACCAGATGTCCGGTGATGGGACGCTGGGCTCTGGCTTCCTCAAGGCACCGACATGCGAACAAGACGTGTGGGACGTCGGTCGGTGAACATCCGAACATACTCCTTGCTTGTGACATGGTGTGTTCCTGGTGTTAAATGACCATGATCAAAGAATGGTCAGGGCATGAGACTTTACGAACGACATAGAGCCATTGGCCGTTTCGACTTCACCACCAGAATCTTTGTGTTTGGTCTTTTTTTTGCGAGTGTACTTCCCCGGTGTCCTACATGTTTCCCTAAGCCTAGCGCAGCGTTCAGGGTCGAATTCGGGGACGAACGTACACACGTGTGTTGATGACGTCGGTCCATCATCCTCAGTTGTCTCTCGAAAGGGCTACTCCTTGGGCCTTGCTTGTGTGGGCGTCGCCCTCCTGCACTTTGTGGTCCACTTGTGCGTGCTGGAGTACATGGTGAAGCCCATGGCTGACCAGCAGGAGGACTGCTGTGGGGTAGGGAAGTGGGACATTGATTCATCCAGCGTTTTCATTCAGAAGGGCCGCAACACAGGACTGAATGCTTCCATGTTAGGACTGTGCAAGCGTTGGGACTTCCATACTCTCAAGAGCAGTATTGTACAATGGCTCGATACCAACTTGGCGTCAGGCATTTCGCACAACATGGGGGCATGTCAAACCACTTACATGCATTCGGGGAAAACATCTTGAATCTTGCCGAGAGAAGAGCAACAAAGCCGGGTCAGCAGTGGATTTCTGCCTTGGCGAATCCCAGAAAGCTTCACGATGACAAGAAAACAGTAACTTGGACATGTGCAAGAGACTGTTGAAGAGCTTACCTCTGGCAAACATTTCCTGGAGTATATTGAATGCCCAAATCAGAACAGGTTTAACCCCAAACCTTTCCGAACGAGGATTCCCTCGATTGAGGTGTTTGCCATGTCTTGTTTCATTGTTTCACCTGCTTCTTTGGAATTTATGAGGAAAAGGGATGGACACAGATATTGTATTTGTCTTTTTTCAATGCTTTTTGGCACCCCAGGAGCAGAGCTCGGCGACCTATGCGGAGGCCGCCAAGAGCTGCCCGGCCACCTACCTCTCAACGAATCCCATCCACTGCCCGGGCGCCTGGACACGCCTGGCCTGGTGCGCCCGGCGTGCGCCTGAAGTGGAGATGTTGGAAAGATCGGAGGTGAAGCTATTGAAACGATTTTTGCTCTGTTTTTTTGTTTTTTTTGTGATCCCGCCAAGAAGAGAAGTCAACAATAGAACTTGGATGCTTTGCCCCGCTTTGCCCCCGGAAGAGTCCGCAGATTCTGCAGACCACCGAGGCCTAAGATCCAAGTACATCCTGAAGCACAATCCTCCGCAGGCGTGCGTTGGAGCTCGGCGGACACCGTGGACACCGTCCTCCGTCCCGTGGCCCTTGAGGGGTGATCATCCCAACGGACAGACATCACACAGCGAAAAGCCTTTTGGCTCACTAGAGGATCAACGAAGAGGGTTGGATAGATATGAAGAGATGCTCAACACATAGAGAAAATCAGCAGGTTTTCTCGGATGCACAATGACTCTCACAAGACTTGCCAAGATTCCGTGGGGCCACTGTGTGGTATTTGGTGGCTGATTGCCAAACGGGTTTTATGATGGCTCTTAGAATATTAAAAACAACACCAATCTTCAGTGATGGAGACAAGATTCTCTCGGCAGCAGAGTCGGTAAGGCTAACGGTAAGGCTAGAAACCTTGAAAGACAGCAAGTTCGATCAATTCTATCTGCAGCTGCATCTCAACTCATCTACTTGGATCAAGAACTCATCTTTGGTGTATTTCTTGAAGATGCTGCGGACGCCCCGGGTGGACGCCCGGGCGTCTAGACGCCCGGTCGTCCAGCCGCGGCTGGAACCAGGCCTTCTACGCGCCTGGAAAGGAGAGTCTGGCGAAGACGAACCCAGAGAGCCTGGGCTGGGCCAACGTTTCATAAAAAGTCCTTAATGAAATGTTCGCTGGCTGAAAAAAAAGGAAAAGCCGATGCTGGGATGGCAAGACGTTGAGGGAGATCCTTTCATTTTGGTAGGTAGTCTTCCTTGACCCGGTATGCCTTGCAGTTCGAGGTTCACAGCCCCAACGGTCTCCAAAGCGGCTACTGGTTGCACCTATTTTGGGGATCCTTTGGGTTCATATTTCAATCGTGAGACCCCCTAGCACATGGGTTTATGTTTGCTCTTCCCGCTCAGATGTCGCTGTGGAGTTCTCTCACCGCTCTGGAGGTGACCCTTCGAGTACGTATCAGCTTAGCCCTGATGAGTGCGAACTGCAGACAGCAGCGAGCGAATCAGGCAACTACCCTCCCACGCTGCCTAGAATGGCTTCGGGTGGTGTCTTCATTGGGTCTGGGCATTGCTACGATTGTCGAGCAACAAACCTGCGATTTGGGAGTGCCCAAGCCCTGAGCCTCTAGCCCCAGCCAAGCCCAGCTGGGACCGATTAAGACAAAAGTCCATCAAGATCCATCAAGAATCAAGCAGTTGGCCCGCGTTTGTGGGTGTATCACTTGCTTTTTCCCCACCCACTCTATATAAGTGTGTGGAAAAGGCAAAACACACATATAATGCAATCGGCACAGCACCATTCTCAGGATTGGCGCCTACTTTGAGTTCCAGGAGAAGGGGTTGAAGTAGCTCCGCAGACAGATCCAGCTTCCGGAAAAACGAACGGCGGCCGGGAGAGGGTGTCCCACTCCGCTTAGATGCTGTTCGTGCTACGTGCAAGTCATGTAAGTTGATGTTCCTTGGATACTATGGTACGGATATTGGATACTCTAAGATGGTGGCGGATAAAATGAAGGCACAGGGCCTTAAGATTGTTTTTCAGCTTAAGGTGGCCCCGACTTTTTCTCACGGTCAAGCACCATTCGTGTTAAGATAACTCCACCTGCTGGGAGGGTCAGGAGAAGGACCTTGGTGCACTCTTGGGATTAGTGCAGTTCTTGCGGTAACAATCTACACTCATCTTGCTTCCAATTTTGACATCCAGGGTTGGAGTGTGCTTGACCCCTTTAGACGAAGACATAGTGACATAGTGGTCTATTCAGAACGAACTTTGGAACTGCAGGCTTATCATAATTAACAAATTATGTATATATCTATTAGGTTGGAGGCCAGCGCTACTAGGTTGGAGGCTTATCATAATTATCTCTCTTTTTCTTCACTGACCTCTTGAGCCGATTTCTGACACTTCCGTAAAGGGCCAGTGTCCATGATCATTGTTCCTACGTCTGACCTCCTGGACGTGTTTAGTTTTATTCTCATCTTTGGGGGGGACGATGGGGGACGTCTGGGTCCAGAACAAGGGCTTGCAGGATCTTGCAGGCGTCCTTGGAGATGAAAGAAAGTGTTCCTTTTTTTCTTTGTGGTTTCCCTTTTTGAGGCCGCATGTGGCGAGAGTCAGCCAGAAGCGTCCAGACGGACGGACCGCACCGGACCATACCCTTTGATGTTCAATTGTCAAGTCCAACGTCTCCCGCACCCCCTACTGAGCTGCGAGTCTCGAGTCCAGGTGCAGAGCATCTCTTGGATCAGCAGGAGGAGGAGGCCCCACAGGGCCCGGGCCGTGTGCTGGTGGGTTTGTTCTGGAAAGCATGGATCATCTTGTAGGCAGGCATTAAGAATTTCTTAAGAATCTTTAGAGTTGTTCATTCTACAATTCTTACAGCTCCATAGGGTCCATAGACCTCTATGCAGGGTGTTGTTCCATGGACCTCTTCAAACAACGATTCGCGCCCCGAGTCCAGGAGGATGGACCGGTCGCGATTTCGGCGACGGAGACCCGTCGACCGGCGAAAGGCGAAAGAGGCCATTGCTCAAAGCTCCAGCCAGTGGGGGGACCTGAGTCGACCTGAGTGGTCTCAAAGCACCACTTGGCGGTCTTCGAAATCGAAGGGCGGTCTTGGCAGTCTGACGTACGGGAAGAAGGGTGGTCAGTCCGAAGTGTCGGAACAGGGTGAAAGCCACTGACCAATTGCTGTTCTGCGAGGAGGTGGGAGCTAACATGTAGGCCCCGACCTTGATGAAGAGTTTTTCATTGGATCCTGATCTTGGAACAACCGTTTTTGTTCTCCAAATACCAACCATTCCACATAAACAATAGAGGAGTCAGGCAGATCTGGGCAGTGCAACTTTGTACATTTTAGAGTGAGAGTTCACTGACATTTTCATCCCAAAAACTGGGTGTAATTAACATGGACCCATCTGTGATATCGTTCTGGACGCTTTTTCCCGGCGAGGTAGCGTCTGGTAGCTTGGTCCCCCAGCTTTCACGAGAGATGCCTTTTGGGGGGGTGCCCGACTGCATTCAGACTGATATTTCAACCCCCGAGGCCAGGGCAGAGTTTTCTCAATCCATGTTTCGGGGGCCTAATAGCGTAGGAGCAAGGCCGCTACTAGGAACAAGTGCATCGCTACTAGTAACAAGTGCCTTACTAGTAGTAACAATGGTCGCTATTAGAAACAAGAATGAACTCAGTTCTACTCTGGTCTCATCCTCACCGATCCTCGTGAGCTCCAGGGTTCAGGAAGCCCTTCATCGTGAGGAGGTCGCCTTGGAAAAGCTCAAGGTATCGCCCATCGACCGGACAGAGCCAAAAAGACAGGGGGATGGGGATGGCATGGTTGTAGGATGCCAAGATGCCATACTGAAGGAAAAGTGGCTGGTTGCAGACTCTGAAAGAGTTTAGTGGATGGTGAATCAGTGCTTAGCTTGTGGTCATTCCGACATTCCACAGTATTGTAGGCCACATGTGAAGTGGAACAGCACTTTGAAAGGTGAGCATCCCATGCTTGAGCTGATTCAGCCTGGAGAGGTGAAGGCAAAAGGTCTCAAAACGTTTGGCAGGTGTGGAGGATGAGATGTCCCCACT